GTTGAATTTTAAGTGGGTTGAAAAGTAAGTGTTCACTGGATTCAGGGTTCCTTTCCTCTCCCACGAAACAGCAAGATCTTGCTTTGACTGTTCGGCGGATTGGCCTGAATTGAGGGCCAAGCGGGTTCTTCGATGCATTTTAGACTCTTTTTGGCGAGCGCGTGCCTTCTTTGGGGCGGTGGTTTGAGCGATGGCCATGGCCATGGGCAACGAGGGGAAGAAACGGAAGAAGGAAGAGTCAAAGGGCAAGAAGGAAGAGAAGAAGCACAAAAAGGAGGAGAAGCAGGAAGAACAACAACAAAAGAAGGAAGAGAAGAAGCACAAGGAGGAGGAGAAGCAGGAAGAACAACAAGACAAGAAGGAAGAGAAGAAGCACAAGACGGAGGAGAAGCAGGAAGAACAACAACAAAAGAAGGAAGAGAAGAAGCACAAGAAGGAGGAGAAGCAGGAAGAACAACAAGAGAAGAAGGAAGAGAAGAAGCGCAAGAAGGAGGACAAGCAGGAAGAACAAAAAGACAAGAAGGAAGACAACAAGAAGGACCAGAGCAAGAAGGGAGATGGCAAAGGAGACAGCAGCAAGGCCAAAAAGAAGCATAGGGCTCAGGACGCGACAGACAACGCGGGCAAGCAGAAGCAGGCAACAACAGAAGATGACCAGAAGGGCAACAGCGACAAAAAGAGAAAGGAGAAGCCCAAGGGGCAGCAAAGCAAAGAACAGGCCGACAAGGACAAGGCTGAGCTGCGCATCGTGTTTGTCCCGGCCATTAAAACAAAGATACAACACATTTTTGCCCCTGGTCGCGTGTTGGTACAGGCCTCAAAGAAGGAGGGTGGGCAGGAAAGGGCGTCGTCGTCAAAGCCAGCCAAGCGGCTGAGAGAGAAGCAGCAGATGGAGAAGAACCCTTCGACCAACGGCAAGCAGAAGGACAAGGAGACCGCGGCCAAGAAAGAAAAGCAGACAACTTCGGCCAAGGCCGACCCCGTCACGCAGACCACTTCGGACACGGCCAATGAGACCGCTTTGGACAAGGCCGCGGCCAACGAGACCGCTTCGGACAAGCAGAACACTGCTGCCAAGCAACAAAAGGATGGCCTCGTGACGCCCCAGGCTGGCCTTGCTGACGCAGACTCGGAGTGCCGCTTACTGGACGATGAATCGTCCAGCGCAGCTGCTTTCTCGATCCTGCGGGACTTTGAGGATTTGGACGCGGCCATCGCGGCTGCCCAGCAGCAAGGCGTCAGCCTGGAGGACTACTTGGTTGCGAAGTCGCAGGAAATGCTCAACGCCCAAGTTGCGGCAAGGCTGCAGGAGATCATGATGGAGGAGAACAACAAGGAAACCGAGCCCAACGAAACGCCAGACAAGCAGCCAAACACAGACAAGCCCAGCTCAGACACTCAGCAAGACAAGCCCAGCGCGCCCAACACGCAAGAGCCCCCCTCCAACACCGCTGGTCAAGCCGCTGTGGTCCTTGCAGAAGCCACAGACGGCGAGGACACGGATGCCGAAGAAGAGGAGGAGGAGGAGAAAGAGGATGATGCTCCTGCAAACAGTGACAGGGGCGCCGACACAGACACCGAGAGTGGCAGCGACAGCAACGAGGCAGGCCACGGCAGCGAAAGCTCCAGCAGTGAGGAGGAGGAGGCGCCAGCGCCCAAGAGAGAGTCAGCCCTCAAAAAGCCCCAGAACAAGAACGTTCAAGCGGTGGTTGCAGCTTCGGAAAAGGCAGAAAAGAACACAAAGGTGCAGGCGGCCAACAGCAGCTAGACACATATTTGGATCTTGGTTTGGTAGAACTTTCAACTGTTTTAGTAGTCGTCCTGGAAGCCTTCAAACAGCGACACAATTGTTGCCATCCACATAATTATGGACCTTGGTTTGGTAGAACCTTCAAACGTTTTAGTAGTCATCCTGGAAGCCTTCAAACAGCCACCCACATATGGACCTTGGTTTGGAAGAACCCTCAACGCAGATGTTGGTGCCCGTTCACCTTGGTTTGGGGGACCTTCAAAATGTTTAAGTGGTCATCCTGGTTTTGCCTGCCCACATTTGAATCTTTGGAGAACTTTCAAATTAAATGTCCCGGAAGCATTTGTGTTCAGGTTCGCCCTTTCTGGTGATTTGGCTTGGGGAACCGAATTCACATGTCGCAGCACTCCCTGAGAGAAACCAAACATAAATATTTACTTTTTTGGGGACCTTTCCATGCTTTTGGCTTGAGCGTCCTGCCCCCACAAGGCACCTTTTATGTGCGACGCTCCAATGAAAGCCGCGAAAAAAAGCAGAACCCGACAATGTGGGTGAGCTTCTTTGGCCAACTTGGGAAAAGATAAATGTGACCAAAAGGCAACTGTTAAGGTTTTTGTATCCCGGTAGACCACGCGCAAAGAAACTCGTCATGGAGTACCTTTTGCTTCAATGTTTCAACCCTGCTCAGGCAAGACCCATAAAAAGGAATGGGATCAGTTTTCCCGGCAGCTGCTGGATCGGAAAAAGTTCCCAACATGCCTAGCCACGCACGTGGTGGCCAACAAGGCGGACGTTTTCCAGACTTGGCTGTCTTGCCACGGAGATTGGAGCCAGCCATATGGCTTACCTTCAGTGCATTTTCATGCTTGCTTTTTTTCCGTTGGGCGCTCCAAATGAAAGTGACGCAACTAAAGATTTTCACAAACCTTGCCCCAGGGTCGCCTTCCAGTTTGAGCGACGCACCACAACGCGGACGACGGCGCGCAAGCAAAGGGCGGGGATCAAGAAAAGAGAAGTCCAAAAGCTTTACGATCCCGTGACTCTTGGCCCACGAGCCCTTGACACACAAGTCCTGAAAGTCCTTGTTCATCAAATGAGGCGCCTGCCAGTCCTGATCACGAGAGTCTTCAATGTTTGGAAATGTTTTTAGCTTCAAAGGGCTGTCCTCATTACATTGGTCCAAAGGATCTGTCCTCCAGATTCATTCCCACTCCAGTTGTTTCAATATGTTTGACCGCCTTCTCAAGGGAAGTGACCACAAGATTTCCCAACGAGTTTTCAAAAGGGCTGGCACTGTTAACCTAGAACCCTTTTTGGGCAGGGTTTCCAACATGATACTGACACCCTTGCTCTGCACCCAGGAAGGCAGAGGAGCTTTGCGCACGGCTGCGCAAAGCTGGACTGTACGAGTGGGATGAGGATTTTCCTCAAGATGAAGATGCGCCCCGACTAAACTATAATCCGTTTTGCGAAGCGATCGCCGCGACAACCCTTTTTAATCACGTTGCTTTACTTTCAGTTCTTAGTTCTTTCGCCGCTGGAGGAGATCTACTACTTGGTTGGTCAAGGAGGCGTAGTCAGGCGAGACCATGAGACATCCGAGTCGACCGCGGTGACAATCAACGAGCGGGAGCCGAGCCAAGATCTCATAGCAGCGCTGACGGAAGACAACGGATTGCTTGCGAACGGAGCTGTGCCAACGCTTCCAAACTTGTCAGCGGAGGGGCAGAAGGCGCTCGTGGACTCCTTGGCGAAGGCGGAGGGCGCTACAGGCGCTGCGCCAAAAGCAAAGGGCAAGGCAAAGGCGAAGGCCAAGGCTGTGTGCGAAACGGCCATGCCGCGGACAACGCTCGAGCTGGCGGAGACGCGCATGCCCGAGGTGCTCAAAATGGCCACGGAGGCGCGGCGACACGCCCTGGCGCTCAAGGGGGTGAACTACTCGGGGGAGTTGGTCGAAGGCATGATGAACTTTTCGAACCGCATGGAGCAGACCTATGAGAAGCTTCAGGACTTGGTGGCGGGTGGAGAGAACGGGGGCGCGCTGACGAAACTCCTTGACAAGACAACCGAGGAAGAAACCTGGTACGTCAAGGCTGAGGCGCGGGTAAAGGATTTGCTTCAAAGTCATTCGGGGGGGGGGTTGCTTCAAAACACATTTCTAAAAACGTCAATATCCAACAAGGAAATTACAAAGGGGGCAGACTCTTTGCAGGTTCCTCTCCAAACTTAGTGAGTTATTATGTTGGATGCCACGTGTCTGAAAACGTTAGTACCCCACAAGGAAACTACAAAGGGGGCAGACTCTTTACAGGCTTCTGGAAAAATGTCACACCAAGCTCATGTTGTGTGACGTGTTAACTTGTTTTCAATCAATGGGTGGGCGCTACGTAAAAGAAGGCTTCGAAGGGCAGGCTTGTTGCAAGCTTCTCCATTAAAAGGCCGTGAAAAAATCAGTGTGTTTCAATCAATTGTGTAGCTTACCTTGCCAGAGAGTAAGCATTCCCTCTACATCAGAAGCCAGAATAGGGTGAATTAATGAGAGCCAGCCCCAGACAGCCGCCAAAGCTTTGCAGAACGGGCTGTCCTCCAAAAAGAAGGGCAAGAAGAAAGGCTCCAAGGAGAAGGATGACGAACCTGAGACGCCGCGGGGTCAGTGATGCACTCCAAGCGAGTGGATCCAATGGGTTTGTTTTTGCCATGGCCCTTTGCTGGTTTCTGGCGGCAACTTTCACAGGAAACACAAGAAACAATGGTTCCCAGCGCTGACTTTCGCTAGCCAGAGCAGCTTAGAAGGGCTTGGAGTTCACACGCAACGGTGCTCAGGTTTCTTTAAATGCGATTTCTCACTGAGTAGTTCGGCCAGCTACAAACATGCTGGATTGGGGTGGCGCTAGTGTCAGCAAAAGCCATACGAACGCAGCTTCACCCTTCACCAATCCCCAGTTTTCCCCCACTCTGTCAACTCCGTTCTTCCGAGGTGCCAGCAAATGGAGCCCCAAGAAGAAGCGACATCCGAGGCGGGGCATGATGGAAGCCGCGCAGGGGTGTCCCAAAACAAAGAGGTTGCCTGAAATGTTTTTGATGTTTGGCTCAACCCTGAAATTCAGGATCCGCCGGACGCGGTTTGAGAACATGGCCACTAGCCACACAGCTCGTGTTTACATCAGACCCTTGCCTGCGCACCGTTTCCATCCAACAACCAGTGGCTTTAGCGAAAAATAGTTTTGAGGGGCCCAAACCCATCTGAGGAATGATCGGGGCCGGCAAAGCGTCGGTGTCTGGAACAGCGGAGCTTTCAAGGGCAACCCTCATGGACTTCCACGGCCAGTATCCTCCAGACGCCTTGCAGGCATTTGCAAGTTTGGGGAACAACGGGCAATGCCCCCAGAATCAGGAAAGAGACTTGCACCGATGGCTGGGTGAGTTGTTCGGGCTGAAGCTTCGGACATATGAAGTTCCCATGCAACTTCAGGCGCAAGGTGTCGAAAAGCGTTGGTTGTTTTCGTGGGAACAAGTCACCCCGGTTCTCTAAAAGCCGTGGCTGTAACTATTTCATCTTTCAAGGGGCTAAAATCCAACTGAGTTTCTTGCGCCTTCCCTTTGCAAGGTGCCGAATCAACCAGGCGTGGCCACCATCCACATCCCGTTTTTGTTGCCGCACGAGACGATCCACTACATTGCTGAATCTAGTGACTGGCAGGCTTGGTGTTTGCTAGCTTGCAAGAAGAGACTAGTTGAAACATGGCTAAGCTTCTGTCTGTACCCTGTCAGTTTTCTCGATCTATGACTGGCGGGCGGAGCGGCGGCGAGATTTCTGAATTCTGGCAGCACTGCAAAAAACACATTGAGTGGGCTGATCATCCTGCTCTGGCAGACCCAGAGGTACCAACTGAACGATCCCTGGCTCCAGTTTGCCTTGTATTCTTTGTCAACCCTACTTCCTTGAAGTGAAATGCGCTCCCCGCTCCATTGCTCAGGACTCATCCCACTCAACATTCACATGGACGGGGCCGAGTTCTACTCGAACAGCGAGTTCAACGTTTGGAGCATTGGGTCTGTCTTTGCTTGGGGTGAAGATTCTTGGCGTATTTGTACGTCTTGTTTGCGCACATCTCTGTCCATTACGGGTGTTTTTGGCAGGTCTGGGATATCAAGTTCCCTTGCTGTATCGTTCCTCACGCCTGGATGCAATCAGATGAAGAGCTGGCCTGAGTTTCCTGAAGAAACGCTGGCATGTTTGCTTGACCCCCAAACGCTGGCTGTTTTTCTTGGCTACTTGGGTTTCCAAACCGCAAGGTGAAGAATCACGTTCATAGCGTTGTGGCCTCCGTTCTGTCCTGGTCTTTGCAGATTGCCACAACCGGCACTGGACCTACCACTGGTTTTTTTGGTGAGGAACTGAAAGGCCATAGAGCGAGTCTGGGTGGCACCTGTCTTGCAAAAGGTTGGAGGGCCTGCTACTGGGCTTTCAAAGCTGATTGCAAGGCACGGCGTGAGGTCCATCATCTCTCTCGCACATACGGGCACAACCAAATATGTGAGATTTGCCTGGCAGAGAGGGCAAACAAGAAAGGGGACCCGCTCCTTATTTTCAAAGATTTCTACCCCACTGCTGCCCACTTATTGACCCAGCTCAGCAACCCGGCATCGTTAGCAAAGTTCTTGGCGTGTCTAGGCTTTAGCGTTCGAACGATGCCTTTCCTGTTACACTAGCTTGACGACGGACCAGAAAGTAAGGCCATGATGAGTACCTCCGCAGTTCCCCCACGCCAACTCCATGGGCTCAGATGCCCGGATTTCATATTTTCACATGCTTCCACGACCCAATGCATTGCATTTTCTTGGGGACAGCAAAAACTCTCTTGGCATCTACGATTGGGTTCTGGTTCCGACGTGGCCTCTTGGGCGCTGATGACTCTCTTTCAGAACTGCTTCGTGGGCTATCCCGAGAGCAGACTTTGATGGCGAAACAAGCTGGCCTTCGTGCAACTTTTAGAACTTATACCCCGGCAGCAACAGGTCTGGACAAGCCCTCTGAGTACCCGGAACTTGGTTCTAAGTACAAAGCTGCAAACATCAAGGCAAGCATTTGGTTCTTTGCAAAGAAGTCAATCCAACTGGCTGAGCAAAACCCTGATGAACCTTGGCTGATGTATGGTTGACCCTCCGAGTTTCCTGTTTGCTGGTTCACCTTGCCAACCAGTGCTGTGGCCAAGGATTTTGAACTCAAGCTCATTGCTGTTTGCACATGGTCCTTGCAAGAAGGGCTTCGAATTCTAGACGAAGCCAATGTGATATTGCGCGAGTCCGAAGCGGAGGACGCGCTTTAATCATTTTCCGAAGGCTAACAAGAGGCACCCCGTTTTGTATACTAAGATTCTGGCACCCTCAAAAAATGGTGTAGTTTCATTCCGGGCTCGACCGCCCTGAAGAGTTTGCAGAACAGAAATACGTTTCAGGCTCATGCAATCAGAAAGGGTGATCCTGAAACCTTCCCCAGTTGCCCCAAGCAACCTGGTCAACATTGCGTCTGAAAAGCCTTCCTTGAAACCACCTGCAACAGATCCGGCGTTAGTTGGTAGAATGTGAGCCGGCGCCCTACAGGATGTACACAACCATTTCCTTCGACACCTTCAATGCTGGCAACACTTGGCAGCTTACTGCCTTGCTCGGGATTGGCGGCTTTTTGCTTTGAAGCCGAAGAATCACTGCCACCAGAAGATTGCGATCACCCTGAGACGCACCCGCTTGAACCCAACAAAGTCAACAAGTTGCTTTGTTGACGAGAGTTTCCTTGGATATATCAAGAAGATAGCAACAGCTTGTCACTCTTCAACTATGCTTCGCGCCCGTCTGTGGCAGCGCTACTTGTTGCTACTGGGGCTTCGCTTCGAAGACGCGCGAAGGGCTGCCGAAGGCTAAAAAGTAGATTTCGGGGTTGCTGCCGCAAACGATTTTCGTTGGAAACCAACCCCAACGTCAAAACAAAACAGACGGCGAAAACGAACGGTGTTAAGATTCGATTGCGAGAGAAAAACATTTTTCTTTGTGCCAAAGAGCAAGCCTTGCAGTTGCTTGACCCTACACAGGCACAAGCGTGCGCGCGTGAAGGAGCAGACACGCGCACACACATACACACACGCGTGCGCACACGCGTGCGCGCACGTTTGCTTCGCCCTTACACGCGAGCACGGCGCACACACACACACGCAAAAACACACAGACAAACACAAACACAAACACAAACACAAACACAAACAAACACACACCCACCCACCCACACACCCACACACCCACACACCCACACACACCCACACACCCACACACACCCACACACACCCACACACACCCACACACACCCACACACACACACCCGCACACACCCGCACACACCCACACACACCCACACACACCCACACACACCCACACACACACACACCCGCACACACCCACACACACACCCACACACCCACACACACCCACACACACACCCACACACACCAACACACACACCAACACACACACACACACACCAACACACACCAACACACACCAACACACACCAACACACACCAACACACACCAACACACACCGACACACACCAACGCACACCAACACACACCAACACACACACCAACACACACCCACACACACACCCGCACACACCCACACACACACACCAACACACACCCACACACACCCACACACACACCCACACACACCAACACACACCAACACACACACACACACCAACACACACCAACACACAACAGACAACACACACACACACCAACACACCAACACACCAACACACCAACACACCAACACACCAACACACCAACGCACCAACGCACCAACACACCAACACACCAACACACCAACACACAACACACAACACACAACACACACACACAGAAACACACACACAGACAGAGACACACACACACACACACACACACGCAAACACACGCGCGCGCGCGCAAACGGACGCAGACACAGACACACAACACCCCCACCCCCGCCCCCACCCACACTTGTATAGGGCAACTTCCACTGCAGCTACACAGGGTTGATCGCACCCAGCCTCCTCAATTGAACATAGAGAGCTTCGTCTTTATGGAGCATACTCTTCGCAATCCGAGCCCACGGGGTGTTGTTTGTTTTGTCAAGGGTTTGGGGTGCTAGGGCCCAAGGTTGTGTTTGGTTGTAGGCCCAAGGTTGTGTTTGGTTGCCTATGCTCAAGCGCTTGCCCCTCTTGCAGGGAAGGTTGAGCGTGCGCAAAGGTTCTTGTCCATGGCTGCGCGCTTGCGTGTTTTCCAGTAGATTGACGCAGGGTGACAAGGCTGCCGGGCAGCGTCGTGCAGCTGAGAACCACTTGTCGTGGGCTGCCGACGGTTGCGCGCCAGCTTTCGTGCTTGGATCGAGAGTTGTCGTGAGCTCTCGTGATCTGTCGGGAGTGTCATGAGGTCTGTCGTGAACTCACGACAGCCTGTCGTGGTTTTTCGAGAGCTGTCGTGATCTGCCGATAGCTGCCAATTTTCGCAGCTCACGCCTGCGGGTCAGCTGTCCCTGGGAGAGCTTCGGAGCGTGGCGGTATGTCAAAAACCATGTAGCTGGATTCAGCCAACTGGATGAACTTGTTGAAAAAAGAATTTTGATCGGTTTCCATGCGTACCCCCCTAATTGGGGGGAGAACAGGTGCAGCAGGCTTTACGACAGGGAGGGTGGGATGGCTAATGAATTTCTCCAGGAATCTTGGATTAAACATTCCTAAAGTCTGCAAATTCCTACCCCATGTCACCTTATCTACGCACGCTTTGGTGAGAATGCCCGCGCCTTGGTAATGCGATGGACATGCTACGAAACGAAAAATCTGTTCATTGTAGACTTCATTGAGCCAACTAATGTCGATTCGCTGAGTACGCGACATATATCGCATGTTTGGGTTGTTCCCAGTGATAATGATGCGGCATGCGGCCTCATTATCTTCCATACAATTCACCGTGACAGGCTTACCGGTGCCTTGACCGATAGCAAACTGCCAAAGCTGTGCAAGTGGCATGCCCTCCTTGGCCACGCCATGATCTAGTGCAACGATCTCCGCTTCGGGAGTCGATTTGGATACCGAAGTTTGCTTCTTGCTAACTGCGGTAATGGGAACATATGTCCTTGGGCCGACTAGGCAAATAAGGACACCAGATGTACTCTTGGAATCGGTACGATCTCCAGCGAGATCGGCATCGCAGTAAGCGACGATTTCAATGTCACTAGGCTTATCGCAGACCCATCCGTATAGGTGTAGGTCTAGCGTCGAGTTGATATAGGAAATAATCCTATGAAGCTTCTTATCGCACAGTCGATTCCACTTAGTGATTCGACTGGCCAAAGCCTGTACAGGTCTAATTAGGTCGTATCGACCCATTCTAGCACCATATAAAATTTTCATGAGAACTGCAGCCGCAGCGTCGCCTAGGACACCGGGCTGTTCAGCAATCACGTCTGTTGGGCAAGGAGACGGCTGCCCAAACAGCTGATCTACTTCCGGGTTGATGGGATTCTCATCGAACTCCGGTTTACTTTCATCCAGAAAAGGCGTCTCAGCCTTCACCAGAGGTCTAGGGTACTTGGGGAGACATAGCTCCTTGTACCTGTCAACGCATGCTTCCATGAAGCACGCTTCGTTATATTTGATGATCTTCACCCGAGCCGGGTCGAATTTGACCTCGTCAGCTCGAAGTCGTTTCTCTCCGAAACGAATGTCAGGCATCTCTTTGGATGGTGGATGATCCACAGTCCAGGCAGTACGAGGGTCGAAGAAACCCTGTACATCTGCTGCAGCAAACTCATGCTCGCAGCCCAGATACCGCTTGAGGGTACCCGGCGGTTCCATTGTAATTACCCGACCAATGAGGTCCCATCCGATCGATAGGTTAGCGGATGGGCCACCCATCTTAAAATCATCAACATAAACCACAAGAAAAAGCTTATACTTAGGGTGATAAAACACACTCGGCCATTCCGGGACACGGATAAATCCGACCTCAATAAGCCTTGCTTCGCAATGCTTTTCCCAGAACGTGCCGGCATCAGGATGCCCGTATAGGGCAAGGATCAATGGACAGACCGGATCGTCATAGCCAGCATCAACCCATGCTTGCGGCCATTGATCCTTAGGAATACGCACCCATGTCGTGGGACCCAGCAGCTTAGCTTGGGTATAGGCGGATTCGCCATCACTGACTTGTAGTGCGTGACCAGGCAACATGCCATATGCATCACACATCTTGCCTGCGGCCATTGTTGCCGGGCATGAGGTAGCTTCGGAAAACATGGCCCAGTGATTTGACTGGTCCCTCACAAAGCATCCCTCAAACACTACTCTCCCTTTGTACTTCCTATTAGGATCATCCTCAGGGAGTTCATGATTCTTTTCCACACATATGTCAAAAATTCTTCCTACATGGACTGTCTTGCCAT